TTAGCAGCCTCCACCTACTGAATTAGATTGGCCAATTTTATTATATAAACATACTTGAAAGATATGACATGAGTTTAATGGATGTTCTATAGTAGATGTATCTATACAATTTATCTTTTCCTTTCCAACTCCTATGCACAAAAATAGTACAGTATTTCTATTCTGTATTGCAATGATCTTTTTATAGCCACAATTTTGCGTTTTTTCTCAGATTCTCGTGGTATTAGTCTTTATTACAATCACTAAGACGGGTATAAACTTTTAAACATAACTTGGTTCTCGGTCTTTGTGACAGTTTACGAGATTCAATCCACAGAGGTTACTAATTGTAATCCAACATCTATTAATTGCCTACACTGAACCACAGATTTGGATCTTGTTTTCAACCTTGGTAGAAGTGCCCTCTGAAGTTTATGATTGTAAAAACTATAATGGACTAATGAGAACTGAAAGCAGAAAGATGTATAAGACTGTCACGATACATTTCAATATTTGTCAGAAAAGACTGAATAAGGATGGTGAATAAGGATGATCACAAATTGATCATCTCATAATACTTTTCGTTACAAGACAATTAATACTGCAGGCAAATGTCTTATGGACAAATATAGATACAGTGTCATTTGTGAGCTGCTGTTTGTCTACTCTGCGTTCAACCCTACAAACCTACGTGCCTGCTTTTGTGTCGGTTGTTCATTTATTTCTGTGTCTCTCAACGCATCATGGGCTTATACAGCAGGTTGTTAGTGGAAAGAACCTCCTTGTTCATTTTATATATGTATATTCATAATATATGTTCGACACGAAGTTGACGCATATACACTGTAGGTTAAAGTCGGATCCCTATCAAACTCTTCGGAGAGAAGAGGACGGGGGGTTGACTGTTTAGCATTGCATTGCATTGCAAACTAAATAACGGTGCTGCTTCAATGTCGCATACGCGTTGGCTTACATACACATCGCAATTCAAACAATAAGCCCAACGACAAGTACACCAATCTCGAGAATTTTAGTTTTTAGGACTTCACACAATTCACAGTTGAGTTAAACTGAATGAAATATGTTGCACAAATGCATCGTCATGGCAAACAGTTGATAGTATAGTACGATGAATATTGATAGATTCGATAATGAATCGAAAATGCAAAATATGTGAGAACACGATGTGAGTGGAGAAATTCATGAGCCGATTTGCAATCAATTTTTCAACATCGACCAGGCTGTATTTTAAAGCGGGGAGTCGTCACCTGCGCATGCGTCAGATGGGCATAGCGTCTAAGTGTTTACTAACAAGCGTCTACCGATGAGCCTTAGCGTTTTTAGCGTTTGTTGTTATCGTCTCTTTGGACTCAATTCCAGCGCTTGCGCAGGTGACGACCGTCCCGCTTTAAGGTGTTGATATACTTGATGTACTTCTCTGTTGTGTACAATGCATATATTGTATTGCATTATTCGTTCACGGTTGGTATGACGAATCACTTCAAATTTGCAAAGTTGTCGTGATCGATCATAAAACATGTGGATTGCATTCCAGTATATTCACAAGTATGTAATGTGATGCAATGTAATGTGGTATGGCGTGGATTAACATAAATGTGATCTTATTTATGTTATTTATATTCTAAAAAGTAAAACGTGCGTTATGAAAAAGTTATATGAGTCTAACATATTGTAATATTGAAGTAGTACGTGTAATAATAGAGCAATAAATATAAATCATTACAATACACGCATCGCAAAATTATTATTCTGAAAAACAATTCTATCGAATACGCGTCATAAATCATGAATGATATCGTTATTGTGAAAGCACATGACACACATGACACAATCCAACAAATTAGAGTAAAACACCTTAATATAAGTTAAATCTCGCAAATGTATATGTATATTTACAAGATATACTACTAAGATGAAAACTATGCACAATGCTTACCTAAACGAAGAATATAGCATAACTGGGAACACCAAATAACCATACCACGATTCTTCAGGCGGACTTTGCTGTAATCACCAAACCTGTCATCAACCCTTGAAAACAAATACTGCCGTTTTCTATATCGTTCGTGCTGAGTGCCATCGCCAACGCAGTTACCTGGGAAGTCACTATCCCTACCATGCCGTTGATCGCCATCCATTGATTCTGCACAAGCAGCGCAGCAAATATGATAGTGCCGCTGATTGGATTATTGAGGAAAATAGGTTGGCCATACCCTCGTACACAACCGACAACAAAACGTAAGACAAATGGTTTATCCTGTAACCAGTCCGTTAGTGGCTGGACATTTCCCATCACGTACCTACTGAAAGCGTTCTCCCTAACCATAGCGGTCGATACAGACCGTCGAACAGAACCCGCTTCTACGTCAGACATTTTTCTCCGGTGCCAATGTTTCTTAAAAAATAGACGAAATTATTTATCGGAACTGAACTGTTTCAACATTACAGTGACATCAGTACGAACACACATACTCAGCAATGTCATTGTTTTTTTGTTGTCTTCTGATTTTCCATGCGACTTGTCAGAAAAGTTTCTCAGAACGTTACCTGGAGGTGCAAAAGAAAAAGTTGATAATTTACACCATTCCAAATGCTCGCCTTGCTAGTACATTGACGAATTGTATCAGACTCGCATAAACGAGCAGAAATGAAACACATTAAAACAAGCTATGCAGGCGGACAGATATACAGTCAGCAATACGTCAATCTTATATTGATGAGAAACTCAGTTTGTGGTCCACAGCTATTAAATAAACCTGTATGAGACCGATCAATTTTGCGTTTCTGCTCTGTCAAAAACACGTTCGTTGGTAATTTACTAAGAAATAAATGTAGCGAAAGATTTAAGAGTAAACTTTAGGGAAAAAAAAAACATTAGGAAGTAATTGTTCAAGTTTAAAGGGTGGCAGTCATCGTGCCGCGTCCTGTTTGATATGGGACTCCTAGCGATGTATACAACGCGTGTAAAATACATTGTTTATTGATATGAAATTCGAACACGCGCTGCGCGACGACCACCGCGCTTTAAAAAACGTTCACGTTGACAGTGCATGTGCAGTATATTATAATTTCAATACGCATGCACCAAATGCTCTCAAAAAACTGTCCCCGATTGTAAGAGATCTATCTCTTCCAGGCAAAGCTTATTAAACTCGTCATTACGGTCGCTATTGATGTGAGTTTACAACGCAATAGGAAGGCAATGCGTAATTATCATGCCAACATAAACTATAGACATAGCAGCAATTATATTTACAATTTATTTTATTATTTTGACTGTATTTCTCCTAAATCCATCTTGATCTAAATACGTATTGATGGCTTGATATAAAATATAAAACAAGTACTAAAATGAGCTAAAACGAGAAGTTTTGGGCGCAAACCGTACGCCAGATCCATATTTCATGAATCAATTCAAGGTTTCTTTTTAGCGTTTTAATAATATTTTTTCTGCCAACAACTGTGCACCGCTGTCATATCGTCATACTCTGTAAAAGCTAACAATTGGTAATACATCAGTAAATATTTGTATAAGAGCAGTCAATGGTGAAACTAATTTATTTGAATAACTTGTAAAAGCTTGTGTTATGCTTCACAAAGACAAGGGGGAATCCGATGTCTTCAATAATGCAGTGGTTACATTTGTCCTGTCAGAAACAGTGCTTGAAATATCCCAACGGATTTCAATCCAAACCCAGAAATGTGCATTGTATAACGTTTAATTGAAATCCATTACGTGATTCTTGAGATATCCATGGAAAATAGGGAAATTGGCTAATTATTTTGCAAAGTGGGCAAATAATATGTAAATCTGACAAACGGGTATTGGGATAATGGTTGAATAGAACACACACAAAATGTAATTGGAGTTTAATTAAACTCAATTACAATGCAATCCAACATAAAATTGCGTCATCTTACAATACAGTCAAATCAGTAAGAACAAATCTTGAAATTCTAAATTTGATAAATCAGTTGCGACATCGAGTGAACTGCCGCAATATTACAATTCATTTATGTATGGATGATTTGGAAACTCGTTTTTTCCCGGAAGCGGTACATCATTAAAATCAGATTTTTATTAACACAAACGTATGTGACACACTGAACGTCGCAATGTATATATAGAATATCCACAGTTATATTTTGCAATTTTTACAATTTTGAACTTATAATAATAATAACCATAGTGTAAATATTGTATAAATATACAATTGAACAACAAAATCATCAACATACTTGTTATCCATTGTATGTTACAAGTAATACAATTACCGGCACATTGTAAACATACAAATACGCAACATATAAGACGAGAACTTACGACCACGGGAAATAACTACGCCACACTAACCGTACATGTAAGATGATATCAATTTTCAAATCAGACCTATCATTCCTTCACTTTCATTCAAATAACTCGCCTGTATTAGATCATAGAACATATACAGCTCAGACAGTTTTACTTACAAAAATCAAATTAATTATTTATATTTATGGGCAACGTAATTGTAACATGCATTAGAAGAACCTATTCAATTTGACTGCAGCGGAAATAAGTCATCTATCTGTTATATCTATACAAATTGAGACATCTATTATTATTGATAAACATAGGTAGGATGTACACACATTTTCAAAATAGGAAAAGAGGACAGAAAAAATAGGTTAATATATTCATGTGATATATACATGTAGAAAGTAAGTAGGAGTCATACAACGGAATCATCTGCTTACCCACTTATTAATCTATTCGAATTATAACAGTATCCGGTTGAACGGGATTCACTTACGTAGATTGCATCATATAGGCCTTTGTATGAATATCACATTATATTCACACCCTTCATATCCAGTGACTTTAAGTGTTGTAAATTTCAGAAATACTAGTAATTCATGTATTCATTGGGTCAGAAGTCACTGCGATAACAATGTAATGCTACTTATATACAAAATAGTCAAACTCACAAAATATATTATTGGCTATATTAACACACACAAAACAAAAACAAAAGCGGGCCTAATTGTTATCTTTTTAAAGTTTTATTCAGCACCTCGTTGTCAAATTGGAAAACAAATTTTACTTGTATTGCTCAAATTTTCGATCACCTCGATGTACCGCGAAAATATCCTGCATGTACACATGCCTGGGTCTTACTTCTAAACTATGCTTTTCTATTCCTGAATTTCTAAAGCTATAGCACGAATCTGTCAAAGGGGTCGAAATGAGAGTGCTTACTATGTAAGGCCAACTTTGGTGCGGTTATTACATTTTGATTTACAGTCATGAGTTTTAATTCGTGATGACGATTGAAACGCAATATTCAGGTATAATTTGCAGTCTTTTCCCTTATCACGTTTAAATTTCTGTTACAATAAATATATGATACACTAATATTTTTTATTATCAAATAATTGTTTCTGTTATAATGTATGCTTTGTGATTAGTTTCAAGCATTGTACCCAGGAATGGGTAACAGGTAACCATGGCAACGCAAATTCCAGTAAGTGACAGATATAATAATGTCAAGGTTATCTACCGCATCATAATAGTAGAATTCAGTTGATTCGAATTATATTTGCTACATTTTCGGCGGCACACACCTTCCACCAGATTGCTTAAATATATATATGTACATTAAGTTCCGCGTTTGTGACGTCAACGTGTGACGAGTGTGATTTACATACATCAATCTTAGGTTTCCAATTAGACAATACACCACAAACGCAAACAATTTGAAGTAATGGGTAACCGGTAGTGATGCTTTTAACAGGCATACATCAGTCTGTCACGAGAAATGTTTTACCACCAACGTTCTACACATTAAACGTGTTTGCGTCTGTGTAATATTCAACACGCAACGTCCATTTATTTATCCATCCACGCTTTATGCTTTGAGATATAATTTAACAAGGTAGACCGAGTACTATAGACAATCTTTGCTCGGTGGTACAATGGAGGATGTAAGCAATATTTAATTTGAGTAAATGAGGATTAACTGAGTGCATCAAATAGTAGACCGTTATCACTAAATTATATTTTGAGTTGAAATAAAAATGTAGTTATTATATTATTATACATGCTTTTGGTGAGTATATTGAGAAACATAGTATTCAATATTCAATGTTAAAAGATTTTTTTTTTATTTTTCGAATTTCCAAATAGAATACATTCAAAATTACTAAATGCCAAATTGACAGGCACGACGTGTTTTTACCACTAATGTATCAATATTTTCTCCTCAGATACAGACATAAGCGTTTTAGTCAACTAAGTCGTCAGAAGATATATACGGTAGGATGGAATCATTCACGGGTCAATTATCTCGTAGGTAATAATGCCGTCGAAACTAGCAAGGAGAAATGTGCAATAAATCACAATGATATTATAAAATAAATTTCATTGCGAACAACGTTAATATAATGCACTGTGTTGTTAAGGTAGAACTGTTTCTAGCCATAAAATAAGTGAATTATTGATACGATGCTAACTCTGCTATACCCTTGAATCATTTCTGCTTCAATGTGCATGCTGTTAGTGAATGCCGATTATCCCTCCGTAGGTCCATACATATGTGAATAATTTAAACCAACTAACCAACCAAGCAATATTATTTAAAAAAAAATCCAATTGAAGGTTTTGTGGATTACTGATGAGGGGCTCATTAAGAAAGATACATACTGCGGTATAAAGTATGCCTCCACGAGAATGGTTCAGCAATTAGGATCGAAATGAGCACTTAGATACTTAAAACCTAAAAAAAAAACAGAATTTGATTATAATTACCAATTCCAAGGACATTGAATGTGATCTTGGTTTCGAATGACAGTCAACAGTAGACATGTCAAATTTAGCTTCAGATTAAATCCATTCACGTCACCATATCTGGCTACGTTGACTATTGCGTCCGACTTACGTGAAAACAAATCTTGAACATAAGCAATTAGCGCCTAACATACTAGAGAAGGCAATGTCCGATAAAACGGAAAGCCGTCCTTCGTCTTCTTTATTTGCACGTTGAATTCAAATCAATTACAAAACAGCTATACATGATTATCTCAATTTGGGTTGCGGAGATTCGACGTAAGCTATGTCAATCAATGCGGTAATATTCTAGTTATTGAATATAATTTACCATTTAAAACATACAATCCATACATGACTTAACATATAATCAATTACATCAATCGTGTTTTATTGCAATAGAAACTTTAACATGTTCATTAATAACACTATACAAGAAATATAAGTGACTGTAACCAAATTCTGTGTTTATTGGTTCATATATACTTTAGATCTTCCGGGAATTGCAGACAACCAGGAGCTAAAAATACAAGGCTGCTAATAGTGATAATAAAGTATATTTATTATTTTGATTAGAAATCAGGTAAGAC